TGGGCTGTGGTGAGGCCCTGACCGTCACCCCTGGGTCCCCGTTGTGGGCTCATGGGCTGTGGTGAGGCCCTGACCGTCACCCCTGGGTCCCCCTTGTGGCCCGTAGTGAGCCCTGAACATCTCCCCGTGTCCCCTTGTGGGCTCATGGACTGTGGTGAGGCCCTGGCAGTTGCCCCTGTGTCCCCCTTGTGGGCCTTGGGAGACCTTGCACTGTCCCTCGTGTCCCCTTTGAAGCCCATGGTGAGACCCTGACCATCCCCCCTTGTGAGCCATAGTGAGGCCCTGACCGTGCCCCCTGTGTCCCCTTCGTTGGGCTGTGGGAGGCCCCTGCACTTGTCCCCCCCTTGTGGGCCGTGGTGAGGCCCTGACCGTGCCCCCTGTGTCCCATCAGCCCAAGCTCTTGGGTCTTCAGTTCCGTGGAGGTGTTTCTGCAGCGTCTTCACCCCTTTTTCTCCTGCAGGGCTTGCTCTGGGAGGACACTGGCCTGTCGCCTGCTGCCTCCCGGCTCTCTGCCCTGCCTGGCTGTTTTGCTCATCAGCTTCACACTCTTGCTGTGCCTCCTCATGTTGAGCTTGTTTATTTTGGGAATTACTGTTGTTTAGTATCTGAGGTCTCCAATTTGCTCTTTTAACTTAAAAAACTACTGTGTTCTTAATTCTGTTTGGTCTTGTCCTCTGGAAGACATCGCTTATAACTCGGTTCCTCTGTCCCAATGCCCTCAAGCCCGCCCATGTTCTCTTTGGACTTGGCAGTTAGCGTTCTTGGTGGTTTTTTCCCTCTGAGGTGTTGGGGTTTTCCCTGATGTGTGATTTCACACTGGCCTATGGTGCAGGGGGCTGGGGCAAGGCCACCTCTCCTCCAGGCATGGCCAGCCCTGACCTGGCTCCTGCCTTTCACAGTGTTGGCTGACCCATTTCTGTCTCCCCGGAATTCCCTGTGGTGTCTGGGGTTCTTCCTCATCCCCCACTTTCCTGGCTCTCTTTCCCTCTCTTGAGCCTTCCCCAGAAGTGGAATGGCTCTGTATGTGCACACAGCCTCCTCTCCCTTCTGGACACTGCTGGAGCCCATAGTGCCCTTCCTAAAGGAGAGCAGTGTCATCGATGCTCATGATGTGGCCTTGCTGGCAGAGTTGTGCACAGGGCCGTCAGTCACCTGGGAGGGAAAGTTCATCGAAACAGAACACCTCTGGGGAGAAAAGCCATAAAGTAGCACAGCGGCCGCTTGGCGTGCATGGTGTGAGGCGTTGAGAACTAAGGTCTTCCCTTTCTTTGTGAGATTCTAAGAATGCTGTCCATAAGCTTGCCACTCCTTGTTAGGCCACTTGGCAGATGGTAACTCTCCCTGGTAGGTTTGCATTGGCTTCCAGGCTTGCTCAAGGGCTCCGAGAGCCCCTTTCACATGAAGGCTCTTGGTGGCGTCACTTCCTCTGGGGGCTGCGGTCCCCTCATGGACGCCCTGACATGCCTCCGCTTGGCCACCTGGCTACGTGCTGGTATGTCTGGGTGTAGCAGTGCCACCAGCCCTCCTGGACCTCCATTTGCCCTCCATTAGAATTTATGGCTCTTTATTCTTTGGCTGCACTGTCCTCTTTGCCAGCCAGCTCCCTGTTTCAGTGACCCATGTTTGTTATGTGGCACATGGGCTTGTTGTGGGACACGGAGGCCATGCAGCCACATGCTCTGCTGTCCACACGTGAGCCACGGAGATGCAGGGTAATCAGGACAGACCCTGAGCGAAGCCGAGGCTGCCCAGTGGTGCCATCCCTGAGCTGTGGACACTGAGGCTGCCCAGTGGTGCCATGCTGCCCTGAGCTGTGGACCGAGGTGCCAGCAGTGACACTCACACTTCTGCTTCACGTTCAGTTAGCGTCCTGTGGGTGTGGTACCCGACTGCACCGGCCAGCACAAATGCAGGGTATTGGCCAGGCAGCACCTCCTGTCCAGACTAGGCGATAGATACTCCAGGCCCCCTGGCCCAGCTTCTGCCCGGGCCTCTGCTGGGTCCCTTCACCTGGATCTGGAACTCAGGGCTCACTAGTTATGGCCCTTAGGTGTTTGAATCTCAGCTGCTCGTGAACTTGGCAACATCCCCAGCTGCGGTTCCAGCAGATGGGCATCTGTCCCCCAAGACTTTCTGCTCTGTTGCACCTACGGTGCAAAGTGGGTAACTTTGGGTTAAGTGGAATTGGATGAGGCGCACTGGTGGCGCAGCGGTTAAAGCTCTTAGCTGCTAATGGAAAGGTTGGCAGTTTGAATCCACTGGCCACTACATAAGGGGAAGACCTGGTTTTCTGTTTCCGTAAAGATGACAGCCTTGGAAGCCCGACGGGGCACTTGTGCTCCGTCCTGTAGGGGCTCTGTGGGTTGGAATCCACGTGATGGTTTGGAATTGGATTTGAGAGGAAATCTCACTCGAGGTTGAAAATGACTTTGGGGAATCGGGGTGGAGAGAATGTGGATGGCACAAGGGCCTGGAATGGGGGGCTGTGGAGGCATCAGGGCTTGGGCACAGATCTCACAGGTAGGGCAGGTGTAAGCTGTGCCTGTCTGGCCCCTGGAGGCCTCGAAGGGAGGTGGTAAAACTGTGAACAAAAGAGTTTTTAAATGTGGCATTTTTATCAGTCATAGTGTATGTGCCTTTGGGGACTTTGCCAGAAAGCGAAGGTGCTTTCCGGAGAGTGTCTAGTGTCCATCCGGGTCCTGTAGCTGAGTTCTATGAAGGGGCAGGGAGGGGATGCATCGGGGTGCGCAGCACAGGTGCTCTGCCCCTGCTCCCCCCTGCCTCTCCCCCCCTGCCCCTGCTGCTCCCTCCTCTCCCTCCCCCTTCCTGCTCCCTCCCCTGTCTCTCCCCCCTCTCCCCCTCCT